CAGATCATGGACGATGCCAAAAGATCTACATGCCGGATGATCTAAGGAGGATCTTGGGTTCATCACATCAGCTGCAGTTCCTCTCGCCTTCCTCATACATGCTAAACCCAGTAGAACACTTGTTGTTGAAGGTGAATGCATCCACGAGACGCCTGTTGGTCAATCCGACGTTTGACCAGACGTTAAGTGCTGTCATTTAGGAGAGTGTTGAAACGGTAAGGCAACAGGACTGCACGAACTGCGTCTTCAGTATGATGTTGAATCTGCCTAAAGCAGCAAGTTTTTAACGTTAACGCTGTCTTTCTTGTCAATAAAACGTATTGCCTTTAAAGTAGACGTTTTTGAAATCAAACTACCGAAGCTAGCTTGAAATAATAGGGCGTTTACAGAGATGTTCATAGCGTAGCCAAGTCAGCTTGCGATGACCTGGACACTGTTGACGCCGTTTTGATCGTAGTCAACTTGTTAAGCGTTGTAAGTAGCTTCCTTTTAACGTTGAAGACAGCAGATAAGGTTGGATGGATTTCGACCTCCCTCGGCCGCTGATGCGGCTACATTCAGTTGACCTTGTAATGCTGTTTAGCTGTCTCGTCCACGAGCTGTATGATAAGGGGATTAAGCTCCTCCCTGTTGTTTCGCCGCGTATTCGTACATTCTCTTCCGTAAAGGATGATGATGTTCCTTGCCGTGCAGTGGTTGAAATACACTACTTCAGCAGCTTCGTGCGTACTTCAGGCGTCAAAGAGCATAAGCTTAGTAAGCAACCTTTTTGTGACAAAGACTATCGCTTCAACCGCGTAGGCATCAAAGATGCGGCCTCTAACCATCTTCGTTTATTTTGATCGGTACGTGTAGCAAAAGGATAATATAGCTATACCGTGTTTGACGGAGTCATGGTAGACTGCACTGATTCAATAACTGAGCAGCTGAATAGGTTTGCCCACACAACACACTAGATACATAGTGGCCTATAGAGCGATAGAAGATAATTGAGTTACCGGTTTAGATCGAAACAATTGACGCCCATAATCAAGAGGAGGGATGGCACAATCGCGCACCGCTTATGCAGTTACGTTGCATTCAAGTAAGCGCAATGTAACCGGAACATCTTACCGTCTCCTTACTCCTCTGAATTGATAACAAACTACGGATGCAAACAAATGAAGTTAGACTGGTTCAGTTGGATTCATGAAAGACAACAGTGTTCCAGTGATAGCCCTGTATATGTTTTCCCACGCGCCCACAAGAAATACGCGGAAACACATTGAGCGACATGGGACAACTGGGTCGCCTACTTCTCTCGAGGCGCACAATGTCAAGGATCAAGAGGAATGCTTGCACAACCGCCCACTACTTGCATACTCCCGTTGCAGTTGCGCGAGCACAATGTGGTGTAAACATCATCCAGTCATTTTAATCCCAGTTCATTGAGAACGAAAGGTATTAGTAGGCTAATGAAGCCATGCTGTGTTTACCGGAGTCATGATAGCTTGCACTGATGTAATAATCGAGCAGCTGAATAGGTCGCCCGACAAAAAATATGCGTAGGCCAATAGAATGACAGGGTCCAACTGGATCGCCGCCTATCTGCTTCATCATTTACAGTGCACATGATCGAATTGGCCAAGGTTTATTTCAGTGGGAATTGCGGACCACATTGGGATGGCGCATCATAATCCATTCCCAGAACGGGTACTTCACAACTACCCTGCAATTCTAGGTAAGCTTCGTTTAAGTCACGGTAGTCGACGCGATTTGGAAGTCGGAGTTTTCAATAGTCACATAGTTTCACAGGTCTATATGTAAAGTCAGGAGCACACAAACTACGAGAAGACAGATGGGAACATGGGGGATACTCAGTCACCGCGATTGCTAGAGACGATCGGGGTCCACGATTAAGAGAAGAGTTTGCATTGGCACCCGTTGGTTGCACAATTCAGTTGCATTAACATAAATGCGATGTACTCTGAACAATGTCTAGTCGCCTTACACATTACTTACAAGTTAATTACTGCTTTTCTTCTTAAAAGGCAATATGTCCAAAGTGGGTTGTAAAATGTCCAATTTGTTCTGCAGAACGTCCGAGTTGTATTGCGAAACATTTAGCGTTTTGCAAAAAGTACATTATGTTTTGAGAAACGTCCAAAGTGGTTTGCAACATTCCCAATGTGGTTTGCAAAACCTCCGAGTTAAAGTAAACAGGGTACATAAGTCTCTTATTTTATATGATTTGTAATTGAATTCATGCCCCAATCCTGCATTTGAAATTGAAAGATGGGCCACAATATAGTATACGAGACAGTCACAACTTGCCAATAATATAAAGGCTTAGAACGCAGGCACTTACGAACTTTTACGTGAACGTTTACGCAAAGATATGGAACAGGCTACGGTACAAGCTGCGAGAATGTAGATCACCTGAAATCTTTCGTAAGACAATCCGCATCTTGTTAATCGTTTTAAAGGCCACCGCGCTGCTGAGACAAAATGCCATTAGAGGAACTGGTATACGAAAACGGTCTAGCAGATATATAATATATTCAACATTTTGACAACCCATAGACGTTGGCCTCAAGAAACCGATACAGGAAGTTGCCACACTAAATCATGCAAAACCGAACCTATAGATCTAGAGATAGCTAATAAAAGTTACGAAACTTTTCGCTTGCGATCAGCTTAACATCTATTTATCTATGAATGAACTGTTCTCCGTACTTCTAAATAAGTTCTTTTCCTGTCCAAAGGTATCAGCACCCAAGTACAGAATGCTTCATGACATCAGTCAACGTCAATTCCTACACAAGTTGGCTGCTATTCATGTATCGGTCCGGAACGTCCTTCCGTTTGACTACTTGAACAGAAGCTCCCTGACGAGTAATAACTTGATTGACGCCAAAACCGACTGATGGTACGGACTATATGCCCTACATATCCATATATATACACTTAAAAAGAGCCCTATAGATAAGCAGAATTGTTGATAGCAACTCTGCTTTAAAACCACATCAGCACACGGTCAGAACAGTCATGGAAGAGCGGGCGAAATCTTTCGAGGGATTATCCTGCGTGGAAGTACGTCCCCTGGAGGCAAATCCACGGTTGGCCGCATCATTTTACTAGAACACTAAGATTTAGCTGCCTTTATTATTTTTATTTTAACCAATCCATCTATTTGAAATATGCAGCCGATCAATCAGCCCCGCAAAATAGTTTGGATACTGCTCTGGAAAAAAGAACTCTAAGTAATATTATCCGTCCCATGCGATCGTTTTTTACATAATGACCAGACCAATCAGTTGGACTGAGCCTCGCAAAGTCAAGGAATATACCCTACATTTATTTATTTACTTATAAGAAGGAATCCTAAACCCTAAAAAGAAAGATGAAATATTGCCCCTGGACGATGGTTCAATAGTGCACGACATCTTGAAGTAAAGGAGCTGACACGGGACCTCCCTTCTGCGCTCTACCACCCAATGAACAATGAACTTAAAGAACTCATGCATATGCTAGGTAATCAACTCTAGTTTCGCCTCCTACTTGGTCCCTAACACTTAGACGTTTCATTCTTTACATCTAAAAAGTATGAACGGGCTACTCGATAATACTCCTGTGATGTTGAGAGAGGTGCAAAGTGTCATCGCGTCCATAAAACCAGCAACTCGTCCAGGTCCATATGGCAATTCCCTAACCGTTATACAACTCTGAGAAAAATACCTCTCTACTAATATTAAACAACTCACGATTCCTATCACTACTGGCAGCTACCCATATTAATGGAATCAATCCATTATAATGTCTAAGCACAAGGGTGGTTCGCAAAGTGATATATCAAAGTACCGCCCTATAAATCACAATTCTGCTGCTTCCAAAGCCCTAGAATAGTCAAGAAGAACATAGAATAATTACTTATAAAACTGAATGTGATCAGTCTCTCATAACCTGGCTTTCTCTCAAAGCGCTGCTGCGTTACCTGCTAGCTACAATTCTTCGACCATGTCATGACGATGATTGACAGAGGAATGGCAATCAGTGTAATTCTGTTCGACATACAAAAGGCGTTCGATCGTGTGAAGCACAAGCCAATGCTGTCTGTTCTATACGAACTTGTAGCCAACTTAACGCAGAGCGCCAAAAGTTAACGAGTTAAAGGATCAACATCACATATTATTCTTTCAAATTAACTCGTCCATAATCTCAGTCTCACCGTGGGTGCCTACCTCCACGCGTCATCACGTCACACCCCTATTGGTCTTGGGACAGTAGCCAATGGGACACCGGGTGTGAGCACAGGGCGAGATGTATGAGTGTAAGGGGGGCATGTGGTGCATTGCGCGAATGCTTCCCAGCTGTTTGCCGTATTGGTGTTGTCCGAAGGTAGACAAGGATGAGTGTACTTGCTAGAGGTCATCAACAGTACGCCAGACTGAAACTGTACAACCTAAGATGCAGGGTTAAAACGTTCGACTACTGCACCTTTTTAACCTATCGGAAACAATATGTGAGTAGTCAAAGGGGGACAATAGCAGTGGCACATATAGGCTCTAGGTTGGTATTGTCGAAACAATATACATAACAATAATAATAAATAATATATGTTGGTGAAAGAAAAACACAGGTATGCTTGTGTAACCGTTCATGACTGCAGACTAGAGTTTTTCTGTGTTGCAGAACATTTGTTGCTACTGCATGTTTCATACCACTCACACGTCCCGTGATTCTTTGAGATCGATAAATTCAAATTAGCACTCAACCGTGATTTGAGCTGTAATCAGAGTGTATACATACCCACGTCGGGCCGTGTAGTGTTTCCCAAATATACTTTCCGTCCGGTGCTTTGTCTTCTGACTCGCGTGGCGCAATCTAAGAAGGTGCTAAGTCAAACCCCTGGGGACACAACAATGTTATTATTAGTAATATTAATATTAATGAGCATATTTCTCAGCAAGTAAGAATCTGTGTGGAATCCAGGCACAGGTTATATATGTACAAGCGATATCATGCTGTTACAAGAGCAATAGTAAGTTACCTTCTTAGGTTTATCTGTATTTCTGGTAAGGTATTTGTCCCCTATGGTTAGGTCCTATTTGATGGCAGGGAGCACTTTTGCAGTTTGAGTATGTTTCATACATTGAGGGTTAATTGCCTTGCGTAAAACGATGGTATTGCACCCATTAGGCCTTATCTGGGCTTCCACTGCAAGGATACTCAAGTGTACTTCCCCAAGAAAATACGACCTAATGGTATCCAGGTTGAGGTAGTTTCCCAACTTACTGCGAAAGGATTGCAGTCTCACACGACCTGATGGTGAATGGCAACCGATTCCATAGCGAAACATATTTGGTGAGACGGAAAGTAGACCGCAAGTTTGTCTTGCCTAGTGGTATAATCAGGGTAAGGTCTTCGTTACCTAAGTCTTAAGTGTAATTGTGTTGCAATGTTAAGGTGAATTGATTGCAAAAGGTATTGTCATATATCAGATTGTGCAGCAGTCTCCAGTTACGTTTCAGTCTTCGCAGCCAAAGCGGATGGAGATGAAGTTGCTGGCATGGCTCCCGAGACTTTAGGATAGAATTTTTCCCCAATACGTGCTTAGTAAATGACGCTTGAAGGTTTTCTATCGACCTTCTGTCTGATTTTCTCCCATTGTCCCAGATTATGCTGCAATAATCCAGGATACGAGTAGTAAGGATTTAGGTTAGTTCAACGCTGACTGTGATTGTATGCATTTTATTAGAGATGTTAGCCACGGATTGCCTGGCTCGTGCAATCTGTTTAGAAACGTTGAAGGCACATACATTTCTGATTCCCAGGTCACGTGTAGACCATTGTGCACAAGTGCGTTCGTTGTTAAGTGTGACAGGTACTTGGGAAATCAAACATCCGCGAAACCTGATAGTTGAAGATATGCTAAGAAGTTCCTCATCCACTTGTTGCACCACGTCACAAGCGAATGCATGTCTTCTTTAATGTGTATAGTATATTCTGAAGCTTAAGTCGTCGGAACAATGTCTATGTCATCGGCAACTAAGAACGGCATGCCCAGTTTACTAATCAAACTGATGTCATTGATATAAAGAAGAAAAAGTAATGACCGAGCACACTTCATTGTATAACCCCGCTGGTAATTGGATGCGGGGAAGAGCAGTCGTCACGTAAGGTGACTATCTGAGCGCGACCGTTCAGATATGCTGGTAGCCAACCTAGTAATTGGTTCTGGACTTCAAAGAAAGCTATCTGAATCAGTAACCGTTTGTAAGGTACCCAAACGAATGTCTTCTGCAGTCCAAAAATTGAAGTAATATTGCATACTTTTAGTCAATGGAGTCTGGTATGTAGTTCAACTAATGCGGCTACCAGGTTGTGTAAGATCGTTTGTCAAGGAAACCATGTTAGGACTTGTCTAACAGCTCCAGTGATTTGATGAAATTCATCGCACACGTTTTTGCCAATTTCTCGAATAATCTGGCACTTATAGGAGTATTACGAATTTTCCTGTAATTATCAATTCCCGGTTTTAGGTTGCCGTAGTGGCTAAGAATGATAAGTGAAGTTTTACATTGATCTGAAAAGCGCTATTATCCTAGTGAAATGGAAAACATTTGCAAAAGGAGCAGTTGCATATAAGTCCCTCTCAGTTTTATAGCAGTTGGTGGTATGACATCAGCTTCCAGAATGGAGGATGGTTTAATAGAACTTATTGTTTGGTGAGTATTGCGGAGAGCAATAGCCACTTTAGATAGAGTCTTAGTCGTTCTTGTTTCTATGGGGGCATATATAAGGCAGTCACCAGATTCAAGAATGTCGGGAAAAATAGCTAAATACCTCACAGATGGCGCCTGGATCTCGTCCACCAGTTCAGTAATCAATGAGGAGCGGTTGTTGGTTCTTCGACGGAGAAATCTGACAAGCTCTTTTGTTTAACATGTCATCCGTAGGGCTGTTTGCTTTTCATCTGCTCTCCCCATCAACTGGAAGTGTTTAACTTCACAGATGAATCAGTGCATCTGTAGAACCATAGAAAAATATCC